CTGATAGGAACAAAACGAGTACTTGACATGGTATTTTCCTGGCGAGGAAACCCGGAATCCGGGCATCTGCTTCTCTTGATTCTGCTTCTCTCGGTCTGGAAGGATACGTGCAGTAGACAGATTCACTACTCGGTCCCCGAGGAGGCCAAACACGGCACCTTCGTGGGCCGCATCGCCCAGGACCTGGGGCTGGAACTGGAAGAGTTGGTGCCGCGCCTGTTTCGGGTGGTGCCCAAGGACCGCGCAGACCTTCTGGAGGTAAATCTGCAGAATGGCATTTTGTTTGTGAATTCTCGGATCGACCGGGAGGAGCTGTGCGGGCGGAGCGCGGAATGTAGCATCCACCTGGAGGTGATCGTGGACAGACCGCTTCAGGTTTTCCATGTGGAGGTGGAAGTGAAGGACATTAACGACAACCCTCCTGTATTCCCAGTAATGGAACAAAAGCTGTTTGTTTCAGAATCCAGGCCGCTTGACTCTCGGTTCCCACTAGAGGGCGCGTCGGATGCAGATATTGGAGCTAACTCAGCTTTAACCTACAAACTTAACTCTAATGATTATTTCATGCTAAGCGTGAATTTAAAGAACGAGGAGAATAAACAGGTTGAACTAATATTAAGAAAATTCTTGGACAGAGAGGATGCTCCTGAACACAATTTACTCCTGATAGCCACCGATGGAGGCAAACCTGAGCTCACGGGCTCTGTTCAGCTGCTGGTCACTGTGCTGGACGTGAACGATAATGCTCCTAGTTTCGAAAGGTCTGAATATGAAGTGAAAGTATTCGAAAACTCAGACAAAGGAACTACAGTTGTGAGACTGAATGCTTCTGATCGGGATGAAGGAACGAACGGGGCAATTTCCTACTCTTTTAATAGCCTTGTTCCACCCATGGTTACTGACCAGTTTAGTCTAGGTGCAAACACTGGAGAAATAACAATTCAAGGGAATTTGGATTTTGAACAAGTAAGTTTATACAAACTCCGCATTGACGCGACGGACAAAGGCCACCCTCCAATGGCGGGTCATTGCACCGTTTTAGTGAAAGTTTTGGATGAAAATGATAATGTTCCTCAGATTGCAGTGACGTCCTTATCCTTGCCTGTCCGGGAGGACGCTCAATTCGGTACGGTCATTGCCCTGATCAGCGTGTCGGACCGTGACTCTGGAGCCAATGGACAGGTGACTTGTTCCCTGACGCCTCAAGTCCCCTTCAAGCTGATGTCCACTTTCAAGAATTACTACTCGCTGGTATTGGATAGCGCCTTGGACCGCGAGAGCATATCTGAGTATGATTTGGTGGTGACTGCGAGGGATGGGGGCTCGCCTTCGCTGTGGGCCACTGCCAGCTTGTTGGTGGAGGTGGCAGACGTGAACGACAATGCGCCAGTGTTCGCGCAGCTGGAGTACACGGTGTTCGTGAAGGAGAACAACCCGCCAGGCTGTCACATCTTCACGGTGTCTGCGCATGACGCAGACGCTCAGGAGAACGCACGAGTGTCCTACTCTCTGGTGGAGCGTCGTGTGGGTGAGCGTGCGCTGTCGAGCTACGTGTCAGTGCACGCGGAAAGCGGCAAGGTGTATGCGCTGCAACCTCTGGATCATGAGGAGTTGGAGCTGCTGCAGTTCCAGGTGAGCGCGAGGGACTCTGGGGTGCCGCCCTTGGGCAGCAATGTGACTCTGCAAGTATTCGTGCTGGATGAGAATGACAATGCACCAGCATTGCTGGGACCTTGGACACAAGGAGCAAGTAGCTCAGTGAATGAGTTAGTGCAGTGGTCAGTTGGTGTGGGCCACGTGGTGGCAAAGGTGCGAGCAGTGGACGCTGACTCCGGGTACAATGCATGGCTGTCATATGAGCTGCTGCCAGTGGTAGGTGGAACACGCAGTCCGTTCCGAGTAGGGCTGTACACTGGTGAGATCAGTACCACACGTGCCCTGAATGAGGCAGATGCTGCACGCCAGAGTCTACTGGTCTTGGTGAAGGACCATGGAGAGCCGTCGCTGACCGCTACTGCCACAGTGCTGATCTCTTTGGTGGAAAGCTGGCAAGCTCCAAAAACCTCTTATAGGGCTTTAGCGGGTGCCGCAGGTCAGGAAACAGCACTGGTGGGTGTGAACGTGTACCTAGTCATCGCTATCTGCGCTGTGTCCAGTCTGTTGGTGCTCACGCTGCTTCTGTACACGATGTTGAGGTGCTCCTCGGGGACCGCCCAGGACAAGTGCGCGTCTGGGAAGCCCACACTGGTGTGCTCCAGTGCGGTGGGAAGCTGGTCTTATTCACAAAAGAGGAGACAGGTGGTGTGCTCTGGGGAGGTCCCACCCAAGACAGACCTCATGGCCTTCAGCCCCAGTCTTCCACAATGTCCAGAATCAGTGGATGTGCGTGAACAGCAAGATTTAAATGTTGATCATTGTATTCAAGTAAGTGCCTGTCTATTTAGAAATTTTAAATTGTATTCGTGGAAATTTTATAATTACTTCTAAGTTTATTTCACTTTTCTGCATATGATGCAATCAAAATTGAAACTTTTTTTAGTTTTAAAAAATACTCTATAAACTATCCTTATTTTTAAGGGCTCTCTTAATTTTTTTTTTTTTTTTTTTTTTTTTTTTTTTTTTTTTTTTTTTGGTACCAGGGATCCACAAGTTGTCCTTAGACTCAAATAATCATTAGATAATTTTTGGTACAAATATTAATTTTAGCCTTTTTACTATTCCAGTAATCTCTGAATAATATTCTAATAAAATGCTCTCATCCAAACATTTAAGCTTTCATGATTAGGCATTGGACTTTTAACCTCGTTTCCTAACCTATGCTTTGAAATATATATTTTAAATAATTTCTTGTTTTTATAGCACCACAAAAATTTTTGCATTATACTTATGTTTAATATGATTTAACTGGTAAATATCTATCAGAAAACTGGACTAGATAATTTCATTCTTGCAAGCCAAATATAGGATTTTCAAATCTTTGTTACAGAAAATTTTCAGAATGATCAGAACTCATTGGTTAATGTAGAAATTCTTGGTATTTTTCAAAGTCCAAGATTCTTTCCTTTTTCTCCTTCAAGTTTGCCAAGGCCTTAAGCATGTTGGTTAGTGTTCTACCACTGAACTACAACCCCAGAACAGTTCTTTTAAACTTCTTGTTCTTTTAGTTGGTTGTGTCTGTTTTTCTGTGCTTCTAGTGACTTTTTGGCCCACCTTGATATTAAATATCCATTATATTTTGACCATATCCCTTTGGAGAGATTAATGGAATTTGATGAAAGGGAATGAAAGGTTGCTGGGATCCCTTTGGAGAGATTAATGGAATTTGATGAAAGGGAATGAAAGGTTGCTGGGATTCTGAGTTCTTATGTTATAAACATACTAATTTGCTTATTTATCACTTACTTATGAATTTATGGGAATTTTCCTTTATGAAAGTGATCTTACTCTTACAATTTCTATTCTATGTCTACTTTGTTCTCAGGTATAATTTTACTGAATTCTCCTTCTAAATATTTACTTCATTTTACAAAAGCACTTTTCCTTTCCACCAGAAGCAAGGTTCTTTTCTACCATCGAGCGTAGCATTTGACAACTTGTCATTTCAGTCATTTTAGTTCTTTGTTTATCCAACTCTCTAATTGATATTTGAATTGTATTTGATGGGCACACTTTTTTCAAAGAAGGAATCTAAACTTATTTCTTGTATTTCTAATATCTTGGTATTAAATGCCCATTTCTATTCTATGTGCAGTACTGCTTTTAGCTATTTTCTGTTTCTTAAGTTGAAAGTCATTAGAGCTTAGTTGTTATATATAGTGGATTCTGGAGCTTCCTGGATTACTTATCCCCTCTAAAATGTTTTGTTTTTATGGATTCTGGTAAAAAATTGTTATTCAGTACATTGATTTTACATTTATGCATAATAAATGTGAATTATATCACCTAGAACTTTTTTTGTGCCAATCAAGTTAATATTTATAAATTTGTAATAAAATTTAGCAAATGCTAAGGACATAATAAAAAGTACTTATTATTACTTCCAAGAGGAAAAGAAGTTTGAATGCAAAAAAAACTAAAATGTCAGCAAAATTAAATAAAATGTCAGAAAGAAATTTTATTTTTATGTAAAATTAATCTTGTGAGGACTTCTGAAATTGACCCAAGACTAAATATTTTGAATGCTGTGTGGTAGAATTTGCATCATGTATGTGGTAAAATATTTTTGGATATACAAAAAGATGGCTTATCTTGGTATTAAATGCCCATTAGATTTTTATCTTTCTTTTGGAGAGAATGATGGGACATAATGGAATAGAATGAAAGGTTTCTGGGGTTCTGAATTCTTATAGCTTATTATTAACATAGTTTTTAATATCTTTATCACTTTATCACTAGAGTACTTCATGATGACATTTGTGATTTATTCCATACTTATAAGTTGCAGGCTGGAGATGTAGCTCAGTGGTAAGCATTTGCTTAACATTCATGAGACCATGGGTTAGGTTCCAGCACCAAATAAATAAATAACCCAGCATAGTTACAGTTGCCCAAGATCCTTCAGTGTCTGAGTAAGTATTTGAAATATTTCTGTGTTTCATTCAATTAATATTTTTCCCCTTTCTTAAAAGCACACAATAGTATTTTGATATGATTTAAAATAATTTGTTATAGTACTCCCAACAAATGAAATAAATTATTTTACAGCATTATACAATACATACATGCTTTCTTAGTAAGTAGAGAATATTAAAGCTACCAGTCTTCTTTAAACATTTAACAGGGTCCTTACACATCTCTAGAAACATGTCATTATGTTAGAAATTACCCAGCCTCAAACTTGAGATTTTGAATAAAACAAATAATATGAATTACATAATGCAATATGTTATAATGAGCACAAAAGAGGTAATGAAGTTGGAATTGAAATAAAATAATTCCCTGTTTGCGTCTTTGAAGGAACACTTGAAGGGTCATTGTGTTCTAGTGGTTTTTTACAAGGGTTGATTTCTACTGCAGAACACCAGAAATAATTTACAGTGCTGCTAAGGAGAAAACAAACAAAACCAAAGACACAGAGAAGCTTCAAATGACTGGAAACATGGAATGGTCTGCTTTATTTAAAACATGTGGATTGCATAAAAGATAATGTGAGAAAATCTGTATTTTGAGCACTAGAAGCAGTTGGGAGCTATCAAAAGATTTTGAGCAAAATAAATTCACACTGTTTCAGCAATTTGAAAGAGAAGACAAACTTGGAAGGTACTGCAGTGATCAAGATTAACAGCAATTGAAAGTGACTCTAATTGATAAGAATACAAAAGAAAATATAGATATTTAAAAACATCAGTGACTCAAAAACTTTCATGTACTTGCTTTCAGACTCAAGACTAAAATATAGATTTAATAAATTTGTTCGCACTTTGGAATGACAGACTAAAACTTATGACAGCTTTACTTATGTAGAACCTAGGCAGAAAAAGAATCCCACCTTAAGTCTAAAATCAGAAATTGCCCTAAGTGCTAAGGATGAACAATAATGAAATAAAAATGCATTAGAAAAAGACAAATGAAGCTCTATTGATTTTAATGAAGAGATAATTATTCACAAATGATAAGGATCAAAAAGAATCAAACTAATAGATACAGGAAAGAAACACACGAGTGGGAACAAATTTAGTAATTGCTATTAAGAGAAAATTAGGAAATTTTTTCCCCCAAAATTAAAACAAATTTTTTCTATTCTTAAAGTATTTCACACATATTAAGTTCATGAAATTACTTAAGAAAACTACTTCCAATATTTGCTCCCTGAGTAATTATCTTTCTGGGCTCCTAGACTCAGTAGCCACAGTGAATTACCGAGTTGTGTTACACTAGAATCTTAAATCTAGAAATATGGAATATTCTGAATTCCAGAACAAAACAATTTTCCAATTTAAAATTTGTGATCATTTAACTGATCATCTTGATTTATTATCACACAAATTCTGTTACTATTTTAATATTATGTGGGGAATTTTTTCTGGAGAGAACTACATTTATGGTCATAATGCATTTCTTAGATGATATTAAGTCTCGTCGTAACACTTCCTCCAGCAAGAAAAACGTACTCCTCTATTTCAACAATGATTAAGAAAGAATTCACAGAAGGAAATAAAATTTTGCAGGATAACGGTGCAATTTTCATTCATGAAAAATGTACTTACTCTTTGGGCCACGTGATGTCACTCTTGGCCGCGATATTCTGTTTCAAAGGGAATACAGAAATCCTTTTCCCCGTGGGAAAACCACACTCTCTTTTTCACTCACTCCGTGATGATCAATGGCGAATACAGGAAGACGGGACTGACAGAGTCAGTAGATTTCTCTTAATTTCGAGGCAATTTACATTAAGCAGAAAGAGATCGGGTATTTGAAATGTTGTACTCGGGTGGAAGCATCCCAGAAGGCCAGCACCTACTGCTTTCATTTCTGCTCCTCACAATCTGGGAAGCAGGCAGCGGGCAGCTCCATTACTCGGTCCCGGAGGAGGCAAAACACGGCACTTTCGTGGGCCGCATCGCCCAGGATCTTGAGCTGCAGCTGATGGAGCTGGTGCCACGCATGTTCCAGTTGGATTCTAAGAGTCACGGAGACCTTCTGGAGGTAAATCTGCAGAATGGCATTTTGTTTGTGAATTCTCGGATCGACCGGGAGGAGCTGTGCGGGCGGAGCGCGGAGTGTAGCATCCACCTGGAGGTGATCGTGGACAGACCGCTGCAGGTTTTCCATGTGGAGGTGGAAGTGAAGGACATTAACGACAACCCCCCGGTGTTCCCAGCCACACAAAAGAATCTGTTTATAGCAGAATCCAGGCCGCTTGACTCTCGGTTTCCACTAGAGGGCGCCTCGGATGCAGATGTCGGAGCCAATGCTCTGCTGACTTACAGACTGAGCCCCAATGAGTATTTCTCACTGGATGTACCACCCAGCCACGAGCAGGTAAAACCTCTTGGACTTGTGTTACGCAAACCTTTGGACCGGGAAGAAGCTCCAGAGCTTTACCTATTGCTCACTGCTACTGACGGAGGCAAACCCGAGCTGACTGGCACCGTTCAGTTATTCATCACAGTGCTGGATGCCAATGACAATGCCCCAGTATTCGACAGGACACTCTATACAGTGAGATTACCAGAAAATGTTCCTATAGGAACACTGGTAATTAACCCCAATGCCTCAGATTTAGACGAAGGAGTGAATGGGGATATTGCTTACTCATTCTCCAGTGATGTTTCTCCAGATATAAAATCCAAGTTCCACATAGATGAAGTGAGTGGGACAATCACAGTGATAGGACGTATTGATTTTGAAGAAAGCAAAACTTACAAAATTCAAGTAGAGGCAATTGATAAAGGCTTTCCACCACTGGCTGGTCACTGTACAATTCTTGTGGAAGTGGTGGACACTAATGACAATGTTCCACAGTTAACTGTGAAAACTGTCTGGCTCCCTGTTAAAGAGGATGCACAACTTGGAACAGTTATTGCTCTGATCAGTGTGACTGACCTAGATGCAGGCGTGAATGGACAAGTGACCTGCTCCCTGATGCCTCATGTCCCCTTCAAGCTAGTGTCCACTTTCAAGAATTACTATTCGTTGGTGCTGGACAGTGCCCTGGATCGCGAGACTGTATCTGACTATAAAGTGGTGGTGACCGCCAGGGACGGAGGTTCACCTTCGCTGTGGGCCACCACCAGTGTGTCTGTGGAGGTGGCTGACGTGAACGACAACGCACCGGCTTTTGCACAACCCGAGTACACTGTGTTCTTGAAGGAGAACAACCCGCCAGGCTGCCACATCTTTACAGTGTCTGCGCATGACGCGGACGCTCAGGAGAACGCTCTGGTGTCCTATTCTCTGGTGGAGCGTCGGGTGGGCGAGCGTGCGCTGTCGAGCTACGTGTCAGTGCACGCGGAAAGCGGCAAGGTGTATGCGCTGCAGCCTCTGGACCACGAGGAATTGGAGCTTCTGCAGTTTCAAGTGAGCGCACGCGATTCTGGCGATCCGTCACTTTGCAGCAACGTGACATTACAGGTGTTCGTGTTGGACGAAAATGACAATGCGCCAGCGCTGTTGGGGTCTGGGACGGGGGACGTGAGCTTAGTGGTGACCCAGCTGGTGCCTTGGTCTGTAGGTGCAGGCCATGTGGTGGCGAAGGTGCGCGCTGTGGATTCAGACTCAGGTTACAATGCATGGTTGTCTTATGAGCTACAGACGTCGGTGGGCGTCGCTCGCAGTCCCTTCCGCGTGGGACTGTACACCGGCGAGATCAGCACAACTCGCGCCCTGGATGAGACCGACTCGCCGCGTCAGCGCCTTTTGGTCCTGGTGAAGGACCATGGGGATCCAGCGCTGACTGCCACCGCCACAGTGCTGGTGTCTCTGGTGGAAAGCGGCCAGACCCCAAAGACCGCTTCTAGAAGCTTGGCGGGTACTGCCAGCCAGGAGGCAACGCTGGTGGATGTCAACGTGTACCTGATCATTGCCATCTGCGCAGTGTCCAGCCTGTTGGTGCTCATGTTGCTGTTGTACATATCATTTCGGTGTTCAGCGGCGCCCACCCAGGGCGAGTGCGGGTCTGGGAAACCCATGCTGGTGTGCTCCAGCGCGGTGGGCAGCTGGTCGTACTCGAATCAGCGACGACAGAGGGTGTGCTCTGGAGAGGTCCCACCCAAGACCGACCTCATGGCCTTCAGCCCAGGTCTTCCTCCGTGCCCTGGATCTGTAGAAGGAGTGGGAGAACCACCTGTTGTTTTGGACTCCCCTGGGAAAGTAGGTTATCTTAGAATTTATTTTTGTTATTTGTTATTGAATGATATTTTTCAGCTCCTGTGGTACATTTAAATATTCTTTTTCATGTTTCTATAACTCTACCAGACTTTCAAAGTAAAAGTTCATAGTTTTACTTTGAATCTCATAAGTTTGGAACATACTTTTGTTTTGACTTTCTTTTTAAAATTTTTTTTTTACCTTTATTTATTTATTTATTTTTATGTGGTGCTGAGAATCGAACCCAGGGTCTCAAATGTGCTAGGAGAGTGCTCTACCACTGAGCCACAACCCCAGTCCTGTTTCAACTTTCTTAATGAGAAACGTCCTAAACTGTATATTAAACAGGCATTATTATGTGTCAAATTAATTTTTGGAATTGGTATTATTCTGGATGCCATAGCACTTGACAACCATTCAGTGTTACAGCCAATGCAGTTGTTATTCATTCAGTAAGCATGAACACCACTCTATCATTTATTCTAAATTTACTCTAAATCATTTATTTCTAAAATTTGCATTGTAGTTTGGTCTAGTTTTATTGTTTATTATAAACTCTTAAGTTTGTTTTTGCATTTAATTCCTCTGAATGAAGACTTTCTTGATATGGTTGTTCAGCACTGCTCAGTATCTTTTACTGCAACAAGTAATTTTCTTAAAATCCTGGAAAACAATTTCTCTATTTAGGAATCAAAATGGCCACAATAATGATTATGAAAATTGAAGTAAATTTTAAATAAAATATTTCAGTTTCTTCTAAATCATATGCCTGAGGCATGCTTCAACACAGTCTGTTTTTTGAATTTTACTTCATTCAAAATGAATACTCCCTCAGCTCCTGTCATCAAACCTATGTCTATCAACACATGTTACCTTGAATTCAGACTTACACTTGTATATATTTGTCTTTGAATGTTTTTCAGGTTCCATGTGCCACTGATCTTGGGCTTAGGTATTGTGTGTTGTATGTAATTATGTGATATGAATTGAGTAGTGCTATAAATGTCATCTTTCCCCTCAAATTTCTTCTTGCCTCTTAGACTTAATGTTTTGAGCACTGAATTATAAAATTTACTCATTATTATTCATGAGTATATATTGATTAACTGGTAATTTAATCCTTTATGTTAACTTGATTATCCTCTTAGACTAGTTCTTCTCAAATGATAGTTACTAGATAGGACAAACTAAATTACGTCCTAAACTAAATTATAAACTTATTTTAAGATTCCAGATAATAGCTCAGATTGAACATTAGTATTGTGAATGGATGGATAATTCATTACATTTAAATGTATGCCTTATAAGAAAATAGGCACATAAGCTGATGGATCAAGTGATCCTCATTTCTGTCAATTTTTCTATTTATAAATATTATTCTACTGTCCAGCTTTTAATAATGACTAAAGTAATTTAAAATTATTGATATGTTTAATATATCTTTTATAAGCCATAACATTATTAAATTTAAAAAATCATTTGTAAAGGATACAATTTCTATTATATTTAAGATTTTTTTGGAAAAAGAGAAAACCTCAGGATTTTAAAGCTACATAGATCTCTTAGTGGAGAGTTTTGCTTTCTGAATATTTGATTCCAAGAACTTTGAGAGAGGAAAAAATATTTTTTTTACTTTAGGCAGTGTGACAAACTTTACTGACATTGATAAAACTATTAGATTACAGAACTATGTCTTTTTGGTATTTAAAAAATTAAATGTTACAGGGATGTAAGCTGTTGACTATGAAAGTAGAAGTGGTACATTTGTGAATTAGAATCATAAGATTCTTTTTGCTCATGTAAGATATAATAAAGTGAAACTTCTCCCCATACAATTGATTTCTTAATAAATGTACTTTTCTGTCTTCTTAGAGACAAGAAGCACCCTCTCAGCATGTCCAATAGCAATGATGAAAGCATTGTAGAGTGACACTATTCTATACATAATAATTTTTCCTGAGGACCCAAATTTGTTCTTGAGAATCATGAAAACAAATGTGGCCAAATTGAGGCTGGAGAGTAATTCTTACTAATGAAGCACTCATTCTCCTTAAAATGCTATCCCAGGCACTTAATATACCATAACTCACAACCCAATTTTTTACTGTTATATTATGAAAGTGGAAAGTGAAACATGTAAAGGTTGAATGGTTGAGGATGTAAAGTCACATTACTAGTAAGTAGGATAATAAAAATCTAAATGGAGAAATGTCTGATGTTGAAGACAGTAATCTCTCTACATTTTAGTGATGACTGGAATTTAGGAGTCGCAAACACCTCATGGGTAATTGATGCTTGTGATTAGTGTAAAAATAAGGTTCATTGAACTTTAAAATAATGACAAAGTGAAGTAAATATCATAACTTGAAGAGACCTACTATTGTCATCCAATAAAATGCTTCTACACAGTATGCAAACTTGAGAGCATTTGAAATTTAGCTAAGATAATCAAGTGGTTAAGGAAGAAATTAGTTCTCCGAAGTTCTGTGTCAAATATAATGTTGTGCCATGAATAAAGTCAATATTATTATATACAAGAGACTATTATAAGGGTTTGAAAGTCCAGATAAACACATATAGAAATAAGAGATGAATGAAAGAAAAGTTAAACTCATGGAATTGTACTTACGAATTAGGCCACCGGATGTCGCTGTTGTCCACAATATAAGTAGCCTTTTAGAAAAAAAGGAATAATCCACTGTCTCTCAAGGTCTAGGAAGTAGCTATTTTCTTAGATCTCAACCGTTTCTATAAAAAATGGAAGAAAGATATCGGATGGGAAATGTTCAGAGTATTCATAGACTTGTAAGACAAGAGAAAGGTAGGATCGCCAGATCCGGCCTTCCGGGAGCCCGGTGTCTGCTGCTCTCGCTTCTGCTCCTGACAGTTTGGGAGGCTGGGAGCGGTCAGCTCCATTACTCGGTCCAGGAGGAAGCCAAACACGGCACTTTCGTGGGCCGCATCGCGCAAGACCTGGGGTTGGAACTGGAAGACCTGGTGCCCCGCCTATTTCGGGTAGCGTCCAAGGGCCGCGGGGACCTTCTGGAGGTAAATCTGCAGAATGGCATTTTGTTTGTGAATTCTCGGATCGACCGGGAGGAGCTGTGCGGGCGGAGCGCGGAGTGTAGCATCCACCTGGAGGTGATCGTGGACAGACCGCTGCAGGTTTTCCATGTGGAGGTGGAAGTGAAGGACATTAATGACAACCCTCCGATGTTCTCCGTAACAGAACAAAAGATCTCAATACCCGAGTCTAGACTGCTTGACTCTAGATTTCCGCTGGAAGGCGCTTCTGATGCAGATGTTGGAGAGAACGCTATGATTACTTATAAACTCAGTTCAAATGAGTTTTTCATTCTTGATATTATAAGCAAAAAAGACAAAGGCAAGTTCCCAGTCCTTGTTTTGAGAAAACTGCTAGACCGTGAAGAAAATCCACAGCTTAAGTTGTTATTGACTGCAACGGATGGGGGCAAACCTGAATTCACAGGATCTGTTTCTGTGTTCATTTTTGTATTAGATGCTAATGATAATGCTCCTACATTTGACAGATCCGTTTATGAAGTGAAGATGTATGAAAATCAGTTGAATCAAACGTTAGTAATATGGCTAAATGCTTCTGACGCGGATGAAGGAATAAACAAGGAAATGGTGTATTCTTTTAGCTCTTTGGTCCCAGCCATCATAAGAAGGAAATTTTTAATAAATGAAATGACAGGAGAAATAAAAGTAAATGATTATATTGACTTTGAAGATAGAAACATTTATGAAATTCATGTAGATGTTACAGATAAAGGAGCTCCACCTATGGTTGGTCACTGCACTGTCTTAGTAGAAGTCCTCGATGAAAATGACAATTCTCCTGAGGTAGTTGTCACTTCTTTGGCTCTCCCAGTAGAAGAGAATGCTCAAGTGGGCACTGTCGTTGCCCTAATTAGCGTGTCTGACCAAGACTCTGGAGCCAATGGTCAGGTGATTTGCTCGCTGACACCCCACATCCCCTTCAAGCTGGTGTCCACTTTCAAAAATTACTACTCGCTGGTGTTGGACAGCACCCTGGACCGCGAGACCATATCTGAGTATGAGTTGGTGGTGACTGCAAGGGATGGGGGCTCGCCTTCGCTGTGGGCCTCAGCCAGCTTGTTGGTGGAGGTGGCAGATGTGAACGACAATGCGCCAGTGTTTGCGCAGTCCGAGTACACGGTGTTCGTGAAGGAGAACAACCTGCCAGGCTGCCACATCTTCACGGTGTCTGCTCATGACGCGGATGCGCGGGAGAATGCGCTGGTGTCCTACTCTCTGGTGGAGCGGCGGGTGGGTGAGCGTGCACTGTCGAGCTACGTGTCAGTGCACGCGGAGAGCGGCAAGGTGTATGCGCTGCAGCCTTTGGACCATGAGGAGTTGGAGCTGCTGCAGTTCCAGGTGAGCGCGCGGGACTCTGGTGTGCCACCCCTGGGCAGCAACCTGACTTTACAAGTATTCGTGCTGGATGAGAACGACAACGCGCCAGCACTGCTGAGACCTTGGACACAAGGAGCAGGCGGCTCTGTGAGCGAACTGGTGTCGCGGTCAGTTGGTGCGGGCCACGTGGTGGCGAAGGTGCGGGCGGTGGACGCAGACTCTGGCTACAATGCGTGGCTGTCTTATGAACTGCTGCCTGCGAAGGGCAGTGCTCGAAGTCCATTCCGCGTGGGGCTGTACACAGGCGAGATCAGCACCACGCGCTTGCTGGATGAGGCGGACGCACCCAGTCAGAGCCTGCTGATTCTGGTGAAAGACCACGGTGAGCCGGCACTGACCGCTACTACCACAGTTCTGGTGTCTCTGGTGGAGAATGGTCAGACGCCAAAGGCCTCTTTGCGAGCGTCAGCTGGAGCTGCGGACGCAGAGGTGGCGTTGGTGGATGTCAATGTGTACCTGATCATTGCCATCTGTGCGATATCCAGCCTGTTGGTGCTCACGCTGCTACTGTACACCGCACTGCGGTGCTCAGAGGCGCCCACTGAGGGCGCTTGCAGGCCTGGGAAGCCCACGCTGGTGTGCTCTAGCGCGGTGGGGA